AGATTACGTATGTGATGAATGCCATAAACTTTTTGCATATAAACGCAATTTTATTACCCACATTTGATTTCCTTATAAGGGCAAAGTTTTTGAATGTGAATGTGTGAAAATATTTACAAAATACGAATAAATTTGACCGATCACAAAAGAGTTTTTAACAGAAACTGTGAAGATTTTGGATCTCTAGACAATTGTAAAAATCTATAGATAATTAATTATATAGAAGTTTCTTTTTATACTAAGTAAAATTTGTGTCTTGCTCGAACCTTGGGATATCCACTATCATTACACATTTATTCGTTTTCGTTGTGATGTTTTATTTTTACACAAAATTTTGCCTACTAGTAATTATTACTGTCTGCTCATTTTTGTCCACTTGATCCCTGCAATTATTCATGCTACGATCGGCCAAGAATTTTTTTCACGCCTATATCTTTTGCAGCTGTGAATGATTCGAACTTTTAATTGGTTACTGTATTTTTAATAAACCTCAAGCAATGATACGCAACCCTGAATCGATCATATACATGTGTCAGTGAAAGAATTTGATTAATTTTTTGAGATACTGATCACTTCTGCTATGAGAGATATTATTGGTACTAACTGAAGATTCTTATTGCAAAACCAACCTAGAAGCCATTTAATAATTTCATTAAAACCATAAAATTTTTTCTTCACTCTTTAAAATTTTTAGAAGCTCTCATAATTGATTGATCTCATAATGAATTGATTTATTCTTGTCTTTCGTAAGTTTCTTGAGTTTTGTGAGATAGAAATTATTTTTTGTTGGTTTGTTGCCTGATACGAGCCAAAATATCATAAGTAATAAACACAAGTAAGCATAAATAATTTTAAAAAGTATTAATGATTGTTTCTATGCAGCTTCAGTCTCAACGCCTACTAGCTGACCCTGCGAGGCGTCCCATAAGAATTTTCATTAAAAAAAAAAAAAAAAAAAAAATGGTTGGAAAATCTATTTTATAGGTATTTCGTATAGAATCTGATATCGTTTATCGATAATTGGAATTTATTGACTGCCTTTTTCCCCGCAGTAGCAGGTATACACGAGGCGGTGTCTCCAATAAAATTTGAACTATAATGAGATTTAAGTAATTTTCCCACATTATTCGAGCGCGTTTATAAATTTTTCATCTGCAGCTTTTATGACCCAGTTTAACGTTATACATTCACGAAGAGTGCGAACACACATTTTATCTCATTATTTACCTTAAAAGCAATTTAATTGCCGCGAATTTATATTATAAAACATCTTCAGCTACAACAGCTTAATATTATCATATAATATAAGAATTTATAAACGCACGTAAAATGTTCACTTTGGAATATAGAATTTTTTCAACAAAAATGTATATCAACGAAAATTATAAGAAATTTGGCTTACCGGCTTCGAGAACCTCGATGTCGAGGTTGTCGCTGCGACTGCGGCTGATGCTGCTGCCGTTGTCATAGATACCACCGCGGCACTGCTGATGATGATGCTGATGATGATGTTGGTGGTGATGCTGATGATGCTGATGACGATGGTGATGATGTTCCTCCATGGATCTGGGCTCGCTGCGTTGAAACTGCTCGAGAAAACTGTCTATTTGATTTTCGATGCTCGTGGGCGAACACGCCATTGTCGCGACGTACGCCGCATAAGTACAAACTTTTTTTCTCTCTTTCTTGGCAGCAGCAGCAGCAGCAGCAGTAGCACACGTACTCGGTAGGCCGGCCGCGCTCTTACTCACACTTATACAGACACGGATACACTTTTGGACACACTTATACACTCGTACACACACACAAAAAGCTTTTCGTTTATCGAGCTTTATATCTTTTTCATGAAAAATCGAAATTTCAACCGAACCGCCGCGACCACGGGGACTCGAGCCTTATCGCTCCAAGGCCGAGCTACATCTCTCGATTATTATGTTGATGCATCCAACGTGCATATTTATACATATGTATGCGGCTTATTAGCGACGAGCCGCGTAATTATTATCGGAGCTTGCGGCTGAGCGGCACTCGGGCGCCCTCGAGCTTTGCGCATAATACCGGGTCACGACGACAACGACAGCGATGCGTCGCAGTGGTTTCACCGGCATCGCCTCGAGCCATCGTCATCTCGAGCGTTTCACCTATTTATTTTTATCATTGCGCGTTATACTGTGTATAACGTAGAAAAATCACGAGAACTACTCGAGCATTTTATTTCGCGTTTGCCATCGCGAAGGCTACACGGATTTTATGATTATTTTTTTTTTCTAGCTTTACGCGATCGTCGTAATTTTCATAATTTATTCGCGCACCAGCACTCGCGGAAGAGTTTATCGAAGTTACTCTGGCGTTGTTGTTGCTCGAGGCTCGTCGCTGCGAGATGCCTTGAGATTATTTTACCGAAACCACCGGCGTGAAAATACGAGCGAGCTTTTTTTTTCACGATAGGAGAAAAAATCCTCGATGCTGGAAGATTATCGACATTCCAAGATACCGCGCACATACACAGGTATTGAGTATGACACGCCGGTGTGCGTAATGTAAATAAAACTCCCGTGAGGAGGGTCAGTGCGGTGTATTGGCGCTAGAATAGCAGGTGGGGCGCCGTACATACATACGTATATACAGAGCTCCGAAGTGAGATACGTGTGTATAATAACAAAGGGACGAAAAGTCGTTCGTCTATATATCCTTGCCTACCGGAGCGCACTTCCTGCCTACCTCGTACACTTTCGTTCTCGTGCGTTCCCTCGTCGCTCTATATATACAGTTTATACTCGCACTCTGCACACACTCGCGAGATCGTAGTATATGAATAAAAAGAAAAATTGCACTGACAGGAGCTCTGCTACAATCCCTCGCGTACATAGGCACACAACACCGACACGAGCCCAGTGCAGTAATAAACGGCAGCAGCAGACGACGCACCAGACTACACAGCACGAGACGTGCGTTTCATATTATAGATATATAGTTATATCGTTACACGGTGCGCACGTCGAGCTCTGCTCGGACGAGCAAGCTCGGGAAAACTGAGTAGAGAGCCCGCCGCGGTGTGCTGCTGCTGCATGCCGATGCGGCGATACGGTGCTACACACACACATACACAGACACATGCATATAGCAGCAGAATCTGCACCACCACCCACCACCGTTATGCCGCAGTATTATGTGGGTACTGTTTGTTTGTAATGCGCCGACACGTAATATACAGACACTCGATTCGAAACGGCGTGCGCGAAATTTTATCCGTGGTCAGTTTCAGTGGTAAGTGCGTATGAATGGTATTTTGTCTTAATTTCATTAAATGCTCGAGTTTGTAAAGATAAGTAGATTGTGAATCCGATCCACGAAGAAATTTTACAAAAATTATAATTCATTTATAAATTAATTATGCTTCCTGGATATGAAGCAGTTTCTTTTTTCAACCCTTCAGAAAAACGATTTTGGATGAATTTGCTTTGACAACGTGATAATTATGATTTCGAAATACTATATGATTGAGAAGACTTATTGAGCATAATTTACAGTTGATAATTATTGAACCACATCAACTTATACTATATTCATAATTGCAACGAAAGAAGACAATCTTTAGAGACTCGCTACTTGATTGTCAGTCTTCATTTGAAAATAAAACAAATGAAGATTTTTTATTTTATCGACCTGTTGTGCGAATGACACTGGCCTGACTTATCGACACAGGGTATTGAAACAACAAAATTACCTACTTATGCGCTTTTAAATTAATATTGCAATTGAAAAATATCAAAAAATATATAAAAATATTATATTTAAGCTATGTTCAGTTCCATGTAGACCAATAATAAAAATTTTTATTTTCCATTGATGAATTAAAACTTTTTATCTTTTCTAGCTTTAATCAATTTATGAAACTTCAAAAATTGTCAACATTCGATGTGAAGTCAATAAATTTTTGCACGAATATATCAAAATTATGTTTTGAATAAAATTCTTTTTATTCTACTTTTATTAACTGCGCGGTAAACACCATCTCTGACCTATCAACCGCAGACAATTTTATTGCTGTATCAAATTCCATGCGCTATACATTGCATGCACGCGCCAAGACTTAGTTTGCCTTTTGAAACCCGAGAGATCGCAAAAAGATGCATGACAGCAACGGCGTACTTTGCACCGACTACATTTTATCTATGATTCAAATTCTGGACAAGTATATTGTTTTTTTTTCACGATAATCCTAGAAAGCTAAGGTGGAAGCGATGAGTTTGAAAATAATTGTCTGAAATTTCTACTTGTTTTTATGCTGTTCAGAAATTTTTTCATTTAAAACCTCAAAAAAACTTTGGGGTAAGAATGATTTTTTAGCTGATATCGGCTTTCTTTATCATTATTTTTTTGGTACGATAGCTTTGTAAGAAATACATGACATTTCAATCACTGTACTTGCTACCGATCATAATAATAAAAATACAAAAACAATATGGATTAAATTTTAAAATTATAACTCGTTTACATTTCAGATTATCTCTCATAAAATTACGGAATTCGATCGACGATTGCCCATAGCGTACGTCCCTCACGTCCAGAAGCATCACGAGGCACGATCGCGCTCTCAGATCGTCATCGTGTATGTACAGATCGCGATGACAGATCGCAAGTTAATCGACCGCGCGCACTTTTGATACCGAAAAACGAAGCGGCAATTCATTCTCAGAGGTGGATCCAAATTTGCGCCGAGTATATATATCGCACAAAACGCAGCATGGGTTGCTCGCAGCGCGAGATGACGACGATGGCCCTGCAAGTGCAAGAGCGTACACGTATGCGTGCCGATCGTCGTACGTACGCGTACGTATGTATGTATATAAAATGCCCTCCTCCGAAGACGAAGACGACGAGAAGCTGCGACGAAACACGTACATATACGTACTCTGCTACATAGTCGTGTTCATGCGTGTATGCGTGTTTATATGCGTAAAATAATCTTGCAGTCGGCCAGTTAGTCGAGTCTCGACTCTGCCACGAGTCCGTCCGTCCGTCCGTTCGTGCAGACCGTCGGGTCGCGCAGCTTCTCTCAGCTCGTACATTATATATATAACGCTGTGCGTGTAGTGCGTCCCTCCCTTCCTCCTCACAGAACGCGGAGTTTCGTCGAGACGTCGGTATTATATCTTCTGCTTGCGACGACGTGAGCCAGTTCTTTCGATATAGCATAGTGGTAGTAGTGGTATAGATAAACCTCCAAGTATAGCCGCCCCGCGATCGACGAGTGTGTGCGAGAGAGAATAAGAGAGAGACTTTCGTTATTTAAGCCAAGAAACCGGTGTGACTTCGAGTGCATATACAACGACAACATAGTGGGTGTTTTTCTGCCGGTTTTTATATATACAAGCCGAGCGACTTACTGTAATATACATCGAGATCGACGCACGTAGCTCAGTACAGTACACGGAACCAGTCGCGATTCGAGGATCTAACTTGCGAGGACAGAGAGATCGGCTGAAAAAATGGGTGGTAAGCTAAGATCGCACCTTTTTTGTGTGTGTCTGCATGCTGTGCGTGCCGCATTACATGGAACTTTTATTCCGATCGAAAAAGCCTGTACACACGCGGCCACGATTTTTGCGGCTTATCGTTTGGCTTATCGCTTTTTTGAATTCGTTTCGGAGTCGTCGAATTGGCCAGTTCGACGACGACGGCGGTTCGATTGATACAGAGACCGGACCGGACGAGAACACGTAACAATATACTCGAATTTCGCATGTGTGTTCGATCGACTCTCGCCGAGAGATGCTTGAGATTGAATCGAGACGATCGCGTTGAGCTCCCGCAGACGCGTCACGATCCGTCATAGGATATCGATACTCCAACTTGACTCATGTCTATTGTACGGCTGAAAACTTTCCGGTCTCGATCGTCCGAATACTTTTATACGGGGGACCCACATTCGCGATCTTAAAGTGACTGTAATTTATCGTTCTGCTCGTTGAATTTATCTTTGAATATTTTGTTTACGCGAGTAATTTTAAAATGCCACCATTGCACGTAGTCAATATACTTGATTATAATTATACATAAGCGTGCATGTAAAGGCGGTCCCCGCTCGACGTTATTATAAGTTTGCCATGACGATGCTGCGTATGTATGAGACGGCTATCTAATTAAATTAGCGATAAGCCCTGTACACATTTTGTGCTCTTGAATACTCGGTCAGTAGTCTTGAATAATGACTGATTGATTTTTGACATTTGTAATTTATCAATTATTAGGTAATTGTTCGGCTCGTGCGAATCATTCGTCTGCTGCTGATGTCTAGCTCCCCAACGTTGAATTTTCAAGTATCTTTTCAATTTTTCTTTTGCTATAATTCCAACTTTCGTTATTCTAATCAGTGGTCGAAGATTAAAACTCCAAAAAATGAATAAATTTCGATCCCTCGATCCTGTTTTTAACGATTAGTATTTTTAAATTTCCTAACGAGTCAATTAGACGCGCAAAAAAGTATGCCCGCAATATTTGCTTGGAGCGCGAGGGAAAAAGTAATGCGATCTAATAATAGAGGGAGAGAAAAAGAGGTATCTTTAAATAGGTAAGCAGCTCTCTCGCTCTCTCTCTACGCGCGAGGAAGCATTACACACACCTCATGAAGAATTGCGCTTATTTATACGCGAGCGCAAACTAAAATTATATAATTGTATGCGACTCGAGGCTCTCTTTTTTGACGTCTCAAAAAAGAGAGGCTCTAGTAATTAAAAAAGATTAACGTGAAATTGCCCATATGCGCGTGGGTGTTCAATGAGCTTTGTACGCTTCGTAATTATAATATCGAACGATGTATGCACAATGTGTCGTTGGCAGAAAAAAGCCCCGCACGATCCTTCCTGCAACTCTCCGTACATTTATGTGCATTTTGCAAGAAAAAAAAACAACAATTGTCGTCGTTTTAAGAAAAAAAAAAAAAAAAAACGATGGTACGCGATGCGTAAAAAACACGCGTACAAAAGTGTGATGTCTGTGCTCGTAGGCAGGTAGGAGCCTCGCATTGTGCACGCGCGCGAATATCAGGCGTACCGTAACACGACTCGGATTTCGTCTCGTCTCGTCGTCGTCGCCGCTTCTTTCGTATCAAAAACTATATACGTACTTATGTACGCTTCGCGTATCATACCTGAGACTCTCGGCGGTGCTCGCGAGATATTTAGGTACCCACTGGCAGTTTTCACGGCGCAGACAGCGTTTTTGCGCAAAAAGGCGTGTATTTATACGTGGTACAAAGTGACGCTTGCCGCGCGCGAGCGAAGATCTGGCGCACATTAAAACGACAGCGATTTATTTAACTCGCGCGTACTGCATCTTGTCTTTTTTGTATATGATTTATTTATCGATGCTGGCTTAATTCATGAAAATAGTTTCATTGAGAGTTCCGGTTGTTTTATCCACTTACACTTTCTTGAGCAATTGAATATCGAGAGAGAGAGAAAAATCGGAAAAAGAAAAATCGATTGGTTGAAAACAAATGTCCTATACGATTGCTTACACGTGCGCTCGAGCGTCGCACATTGGCGAGAAATCATTTGTAAATCGAAACAGACGTCTACGACGACGACGACGACGACGGCGACTTATGTAAACGTCTGGAAATCTGACTTTTTGAAATCAGATCTAAAGTATGACTGTTATCGTGTAGGCGTACGTTGCATTTTGTATACACACATACGTATCGATCCATCGGCGCACCACTCGTTCGAATTTGATTTATCATTATGTAATTACCGAACTATAAAAATTGACAATTGCGTCTGTATTTTGGATTTTGCGCGCTCACACTCAAAAGTCAAAATTGTCCTGTTAATCGACGTTGTACACACATGACGCGCGTTACACGATTCTCTAAAAATATATTTTCTACTTTGGATGTTTGCCCAGTTCTCGAGTGTTTTACTTTTTGTTGTTAGAGACACCTTACACATTCGGCAATTTCGCGAAAAGAAATTAACCCGACACGAATACCATGATGGGATTATGCTTGATTGGAGAATTAAAGTACGAGTGACGTTGTACGTCATGATTTTCAAATCGAGGAACAATATATGAGCTTTTTTAGAATGACCTAGTTTTTTAAACTCAATTTTATAAATTTATCAAAATTTTAGCTTTTTTTGTTCCATGTATAATTTTTAAATGACTTTTTACAGGCTTTGCATGGGTAACTTTGGCGACCAACGATTCCTACTCGCTCGGAGCTTTGGTTTTGGCGCACTCGCTGCGCCGTGTAGGTACGCCTCACGACCTCGTCGTACTCATCACGCCCGGAGTTTCACAGTCTATGAGGTGAGAATTAATTTCACGGGTGTTTCTGAAGTAAAAAAAAATTAATTCAAATCGTGAGCTGAATTTTCTGCCATTAACGACGACGATTGTGATCTTGGACGCAGCGATTAATCAATCATTCGCATTATTAGAGCTATTCATCAAAGATATTTTCGAGCGCTTTTATTTTCATCTCTTGCCTGGTTAAAACTTAACAGTATAATTGCCTTTCTCTAATCATGCCAATCTGAATCAGCGCCAAAAAACTTGACATTGACCATAAGTTAGTCAATGACGTTGTTGATTCCTGGAATTTGTACTATTGATATTTTGTCGATATTTTTTACAACACGAAAGAAATTTTTTTTTATTTGCTGCTCGCCACAAATGTAATGAAGATATCATTAATTATGATAATTCTAGGGATAAATTAGCCTCAATATTTACTCAAGTCCAAGAAGTCAATGTATTAGATTCAAAAGATGACACGAACCTGGCAGTTCTCAACAGACCAGAATTGGGTATCACATTTACGAAATTACACTGCTGGAAGCTGACTCAGTACGAAAAGTGCGTGTTCCTCGATGCAGATGTTCTCGTAAGTACCACACAACCAATATTTACAATAACCAACATAAAAAAATCTCATTTCTCTCTCTCTCTCTTTCTATCCGAACTAGGTCATCAAAAATTCCGACGAGCTGTTTGAGCGCGACGAGCTATCGGCGGCGCCGGACGTCGGCTGGCCCGACTGCTTCAACTCCGGCGTCTTCGTGTACGCCCCGTCAGATGCGAGATTCGCCGATCTCGTGGCCTTCGCCAACAGCCACGGCTCGTTCGACGGCGCCGATCAGGGCCTGCTGAATCTCTACTTCCACGACTGGGCGCACAAGGACATAGCCAAGCATCTGCCCTTCATTTACAACATGTGCTCGGTGGCCATGTACTCCTACGCGCCGGCTTACAGACAGTATGTTAATTCGAGCTTTATGCTAATTTCGCATTCCGCATGAGTTTTACGTTTACGCGCCAAAATCACAGGTACGGAGAGAATGTGAAAATCGTGCACTTCATCGGCAACACAAAGCCGTGGCTTCAGCATTACGACACGGCCACGGGGATCGTGCAGCCACCACCGGGCTGCGCTCACTTGCAGCCCCTCATCCAGACTTGGTGGAACATATTCTGCGACAATGTGCACTCCCAGCTCTCCGACAACATGGTGAGACTCGATGTCAACTCTCAGTAGTTTTTTTCTTCACTGTCAATGTATATTTGGTTCAGTACGAAATACAAATGTTGAGTTTTATTTCTAATTATCACATGGTTATGGCCAATAATAATTTGTTTTTAATAATTTAATTTAATCTATTAGCTCAATGTTTTTATTGGTATTCGAATGAGTTTTAGATAAGATTTTTATCAACTATCTATGTAGACCTTTTGATTAATTGATTCATTAGTGATTGTCTTGCTTAATTTTATTGTAACCAAAATTCACTTATTGTACAATAGATGTTTGCAAACAGTGTCAATTTTTTATAGATCGAAGGTAGTTTTTGTAGATACACGTTGTTATATTCTCAATTAAAAATCTTCCTATGTAAACGAAAAATTGGCACTGTAACACTCTTATTTGTAACTAACGAAAGCAGTGTGCACCTTTTTTTTTGTCTTTTGCATGACGCTTTCAAAGGCTGACGAGTTTGTGACGACTGACTGGCGTATCTCTAATCCCTCTGCGAGTCCTTGCTCGAATCACGATCCATTAAAATCCCATGAGAGATTTCGTGAAGATGAATTTTTGAACGAGCCAGATTTTTCAGAATTTAAAGATCCTTGGGAAAATTACTGCGAGCCAGTGAAATATCAAATTGATCCATCGAATGAAGCGGCTACCTCGCAAGAACATGACACATTAGATTCATTATCTTGCAGCAGCAAAAAACATTCGAAAATAGAAAAAATCGATCCGAACTCGGCTCAGTGTAAATTCGTAACTCAGTCCCGAATTGTGAACGATGATGAGGCTAAAGACACGCAAGAGTACACGATCAATCACGGCTTAAATGTAGTGAATCGAATAATAAATCAATACGAGCACACGTGTAAAACAATCATTAGCGAAACGAAAAATGATAACGTACCGAGCATATCATTCGATTCTGGTCCTTTAGACAACCCACTTCCTACTGTCGATCCGTTCAATGTAGAGAAACAAACTGACTCGAGTTCTTCCAGCAAAGTAGATAACAAAACTGTAAGTAGCTTATCTGCCTTGTAATTATTAATTTATTAACTTTGCACTTTTTGTCTTTAATGCATTAGCATTGTTTACTATGGTTAATCGTTTTCATATTTTATCCTAATTAATCTATGAAAATAATAACAAACTAAAAAATTTATATATCATGCAACAGATAAGACTATAAAGTAAGCTGTATATGAGTAGCGGCGTGTCGTCACTCAGTTCCTGTCCTATACTTGCCAGGTGGGGCGTGACACGCGCTCCTCGATAACATATTACTTGTATCTTCCATTTATGTTCGCGAAAATTATAGGGAGGCATTGCTGGAGCTCTATCCAAAATGACACTCGATGAAGTGCGAACCGAGGAGCAATCGTCAGTAGACGAAGGCATGCGAAAATTTAATTGGGAACAGGGTCAAATTGATTACATGGGCGCTGATAGCTTCGATAATATAATGAAGAAAATCCATCAAACCATTGCGGCTGGTGAACCTTCAGAATCTACTGAGAAGGTAATTTGAAACCTTTTTTTATAAAATTTTTCTTTCTGGATCTGTGCCGTACACAAGTTGCTGAATTTATAAGCTTATTTGATTTTAATCATTATTGAATATGTTGTGAGAATTTTCATTACTAATAATTCCTAAGTTTCTTATTATTATAAATTTTTACTACGCTTCAACTAAAACTGAGTATAAAATATTTTTATCATAATTTTCGGTTTTAGTTTTTAATAACATTGAACACCATCGAAGAATGAAGTTACTGTAAATATTACAATATTCTATAATAATTAACAAATGAAGATGTCACTATCCAAAAAAACGTACTAATTATACTTATAATATTTATGGAATTGATTTTATCTTGATTTCTCTTTTTGCAAGCAACCTTTGGTTTCAGTCCTCAGGTAAATTAATACTCTCAGAGCTTAATATTCTTAAGCTAATATATTTTATTTTATTTTCGCTCTCACCAGATTGAAATAATAACTTTTCGAGCTCTAACGAAATTTGATATTTTCAGAAAACGCAAAAACACGAAAAAAGTACGGAAAGCGGTCAGATGGAAGCAGCTGTAGAGGCGACTAATGTTACTAGACCTGGTACGTCTATATTGAAAAAAGTTCCGACTGCTAAAACAGAAGCCGATGGCGAGTCCAGGCAGCGTAAAAAGAATTTGCCGTGACAGGAAAAATAAACTTGAAAAAGATGACGGATATAATAATTTGAAATCCAAAATACTCATTAAAATACCTTTTATCTTATGTGATTGCAAAATAACTTGTATAAATAATTGAAATTAGTAATAATCACGTACTTTGATTTTTTTCGGTCGAAAGTGTCATGGATACATAAATTTCATTGCATAAGACTCTTAAAAACTTAAATAAGTTCCATTAGTTACTAGTTTCAAATAGGCTTAAATTTGAATAGAAGAAAATTATCGAAGCACTTTGTAAAAAATTTGTAAAAAAGGACGTTTGTGTATTAACCTTATACTAAGAATATAAGATTCTCGATTTATTTTTCTTCGTGTAATCTCGTATTTTGTGGCTTTATTATAAGAATTTCGTAATGATTTCATTTAACGAGGAAAAATCGTAGGTTTATTTTACTCATCTACCTGTCTAAGGCAAAACATACTTCCTGCTCTAAAATTGGATGCTAAAAGTAGTCAATTTTTTGATTTTATTGGTAGATGAGTAACTTTACCGGAGTAATAATCGAGATTTTAAACCGCTCTAAAAGTTTACATTTATTAATAAAAAGTTTGTCTTGCGCATTAATCAGTAAATTTGTAATCGATTTTATAATTTAATTAATCAGCGATGTGAAAGACTGAACTTTGTTGCGCCCAATGAAAAAAGAACTGCTTATCAGCGTTTAATAGAAGTCCGCAACGAGAGCAACTAACAGATCATGGCGTCAGTTATGAGCATTGTCGCGTGGAGTAACAAATTTGCTTTGTTAATAGGGTAAATACACTCGGCAACAAAATTATCGCAACAAAAAAATTCATCGAAATTTTGTGGATTTTCAAATGCTTCTATCTTGGGCTAGATTTATCGTATCGACACGCTTTTTTTTTTAATTTCTTGGAAATTTTGTCCTCTTTAAATCCATATAAATTAAGATAAGATTTGAGTTAATGTTGAGTTACCAGTAGTATTTGAGCGTGACCCTAAAAATTACTGAAAAAAAATGACTTTTTGAACGTGTACCAGTACCACAGTGATTTTTTTATCGAAATCTAACATACACCATCGCAAAGTGCTCTTTTTAACGAGTAATTTAAAAAAAAAAAGACCTCTCTACGATTTTTTTAACGCCCTGTAGGTCGATTTGAAGATACCATTTAAAGTACGTGAAATCCCCCGTTTACCTGAAATCAAGACGATTTTCTGGGCATTTTGCGTACATAAACCGTACCTTCAAATCGACCTACAGGGCGTTAAAAAAATCGTAGAGAGGTCTTTTTTTTTTTAAATTATTCGTTAAAAAGAGCACTTTGCGATGGTGTATGTTAGATTTCGATAAAAAAATCACTGTGGTACTGGTACACGTTCAAACAGTCATTTTTTTTCAGTAATTTTTAGGGTCACGCTCAAATGCTACTGGTAACTCAACATTAACTCAAATCTTATCTTAATTTATATGGATTTAAAGAGGACAAAATTTCCAAGAAATTAAAAAAAAAAGCGTGTCGGTACGATAAATCTAGCCCAAGATAGAAGCATTTGAAAATCGACAAAATTTCAATGAATTTTTTTGTTGCGATAATTTTGTTGCCGAGTGTATTTTTTAGCTTAAAAAATGCTTTATGAAAAGAATTACTGCATTATATAACAATTATTATCTTAAGTTAGTTTTCAGTTTTTCTATTTTTACGTTTTTGATTTTGAAATTACACCTCATTGTTCATAATTTGATAATAAAGCTTTGTAATGAATTAAAATAATTAAATATATTTATATACTTAAAAACAATTACAAAAATAACTGTGTGAACTTTTTAAATAGATACTTACCTAATTATTTTTATCAACTAACTTTATTTCAGTTAATTCACAATTGTTTACTTGATCATATGTACACTTATATGCTCCGCAACAAAATTATTGCAACAAAAATTTTGATCGAAATTTTGTCAATCTTCAAATGCTTATGTCTCCGTCAATTTTGAATGTATTGAGAAGTTTTTTTTAGTTTTTTTTGGAAATTTTTCTAGTATGAGGCCAAATATATTTTGAATAGATTTGAATCAATTTCGAGTTGTCAGTCGCACTTAAGCGTAATGTATCGTTTGGACGTGTATCTGGACTACAATCATTTGTTTATCCAAACTTGACATACACTATTTAAAAGTACTTCAAAGTACTTATTGACGAATAATTTAGAAAAAAAATCCTCTATGATTTTTTTTTGCGCCCCGAAGAATGTTTTAAAAGTACTTTTTGAAGTACGCAAAATGCCTCGTTTAGCTGAAATCGAGTTTGCTCAAATAATTGTCTTGCTAGAGATAGGACTAAGATGAATTATCTCTAATTTACCATTTTCTTTACCTTTAATATGATCTCGAATTTTTTCTTTTAATCTGACGAGACCAAAATTTAGAGGAAATTGTAATTTGCTCAGTTGATAAACATATTTCAATTTTAGGCCAATAGATGAATACAAAGAAGTTTATTGTTCAACTTTTATGTTATCTTTGATTTTTGATGTATTTTTAGTTTATAAATTCGATTTTTGACAACAAATTCGAATTTCTCATCAAATTTAATATAAAAAAATCCTGTTTCATCATTTTTTTCATATTCACCCTAAGTAGAATAAAATTTGAATTTTGAGCCCTTATACATCCATCACGATGGACCCAGGGTTCATTTTTAAATGAATTATTCAAAAGTAAATACTTAGTTTTTATTTTTTCGTGGGGGACATTTGACATAGCTCATATGTATGTGTTTGCCTAAGTTTAGATGTATTGTTTTTTGCAACTAGACCACAGCTGTGATAGGCAAGGAGATTCGTTGAAAATAATCTTCTTTTCATCTAATTAATGAAGTGTCTAATATTTACATTTTTTTAACAATCATGTGACTTTCAAACTAATTTTTTTTGATTTTTAATTGAATAATGATTAATCCTTAGCTTATGAATAAGTAAAGATTTAATTTGCTAAAATTTTTGCTAACGAATCCATCGTTTATTGCCACTTCAATGAATATTTTTTATTTTAATTGTACTTATTATACAATTTTAGAAATTCCAGAAGGAAACTTGTCAAATCCTGCTCAAGTGGTTTCAATTATCGACACTGAGAGGATATCATTGGGTCAAGGGGCTCTAGTACAAGATTTTGAGCCTGTAAAAGAGAAAGACAGCCCAAATGAATCGGAGAGAAAAGTCGATACCCAAATAGGATCGCAAGAAAATGTGGCACCAGCGACCGATGCTTTAAGCTCAACATCAGTGGTCAGAGTCGAGCAAGAAAGTGCTCAATCAGAGTCTCAGATTCTGGTGGTTTGTCCGAGGCCACAGGAGACCGAAATTATCAACAGATCCGAAATAACTTTGAATATTTCTGATGTCGAATCCAGTCCAATCGATTTAACGACATCGATACCTGCGCAAGTCGATTCAGAAACAACATTAGACGTTGAAAAACGAATTAGCGATCCAATGATTGAGTCAAGATCGATCAACGCGTGCTCGGTCGAATCAAGTAATTTGCCTTCGCAAGCCGACCCAGACGAAGCTCCTATCCCGCCGAAGCGAAAAGCCAAAAACTCCAAGGAAGCAGCCGGTAATACCGATCCAGCTACGTAATCATGGATAGTGTCGTTTACCGCTGTAATGATATAATTATTATTATTATATTCGTGTTATCTCATAAAATTGTTACTCATTTTCCTAACAAAGGCAACGTAATAAAAATCAAAATGGATAAAGTATAAGTAATTGAAATTGTGCATTGTTAAAAATAAATAATTATTAAGTCTCCTACTAGCATTAATAATTTTAGTTCATTGATGAATTAAAAAAAATGTCCAATATCTTAATTATTGTAGAATTTACTTTTTCCTTCTCATCTTAATTATTGTATAGTTTTTCGAGATATTTTGCTTGGCATGTTTGAGGATGATTTTCAAGGTCATAATTGAATATTCCGGTAAGTTTGATATGGCCATTAGAAAGTCGAGAAAATTTCCTATCGAATGCAGTAGTCAGTCACTTTTTTTTAATGAGTTTTGATACTTTTCAGCAACTTAGAAATAGAGTGAATTGTCGAATTTACGTTAAATTATGACTTTTTGGCCTGTATAACAAAAAAGTAGTAAGAAAAAAATTAACCATCTTCAACGTTCATGTTCAAGAATTTCGTTAACTTTCTTAACCGACGAAAATAGTAACTATTGTGTTAGGCATTGTTGTTTTTTCTTTAAATAAAGTGCATGTAGCTTCAATGTTAACATTTTTCATTTTTGCTTATTAATGCATTTATTAAAAGTTTATTCAGCCTAAATATGTCAAATTAAGTTTTGAGGATGATTTGAGAAGTAATATCCAGAATTTAAAGAAGTTAAGTGCACAATGATCCGGTAAGCTCGCTTCGCTCGTGATGCTAATGTCGGGGCGAGCATCAAAATTCGAAACTTAATTAGAGTCGTATTTTAAAGTTTAGTATGACTCGCTACGGTCACAATGCTAAAAGTGAAGGAAAAGAATTCGCATCGCATGTAACTGATTTTATGTAAAAGTCAATAATAACCATAACCGCTTTGTTTTCTGCACAATCAGATGGCAAATCAAGACCTCGATGCGAAAGAAAAAACAAATGCTAGTCCGTATGTGCATTGAAATCTTGAATTAATTTTTTTATTTTGAATCTATTTGGATAATTTTAAAAAACTTTTGCGCGGGGATGGAAAAAAATACTATTTCTTACACGGGTGACCCCCTTGTAAGAAAATCTACTATTGTTTAATTACTCATTAGTTAGTTCGTTAAGGGGTAATTTTTAACATACCAATCAAAAGCTTGGAACTTTCTCTTTCAGAAAATATATTTTTTATTAAGATGGTTGATCTTTTAAATTAGTTATGAACAATAAAAGACCGCGTCCCTAAGAGCCCGTGTTAAAATCGCGATTTTCAAACTTGTTTATCTTGAAAGTTAGTTCGTCAACCACATTTTTTTTTGGAATCTCATTTTGAAGATCTAACAAATCGATTGATATAAGTTTTATCATGTTGGATGATCTTTTGTATATAATGTGTAGAGCCTCCTTAAGTGTATTTATTATTTTTAAGTTTATGGCCTAAAGATGAATGGTCAGTTTAAATGTAAGAAGTTTATTATTCATTTGAAACTAAATAAATAAAATAAAATAAAATACGCAATCTTAAGAAGTAATAAAATATTATTAAAATATTTTTATCAAATAAATTCTAATTATGTTAATACGAGTGAAATTCCAAATGTATGCCACCAAATAATTTAGACCGTTCCTTGAATACTTTTGTAATTTTTTTGAATCGATTCAAATGCAAGAAGCATCGCCGATTTTCCAGAAGTCACGGATCTCGATGACGATCCGTCGTCAATCTTCGATAAAATAGGCATCTATATAAGGATGCGGTAGCGTCTCTCTCTTTCCGGTAAATTAGCCACCGCGAGTAAGCGTCGATCGCGTCGCGCGAACTTTCGCTTGTATCAACCGATCGGCGAACGTACCCAGTACCGCACATAGTATGCACATCACAGCTCGGCAGCATATGAACTATACAGTATTGCCAACGAGGCGTACGGCAGCAGCTACTAACGCCATCACTGACAAAACACGTCAAGATCTACGACGACGTAAGTAAGTATACAATTTTACGCGGCGCTCGTGTACACGAGTCCACTCCACCAGCGACCCCACCACCGCTTCTACTATACACTCCAGCACGTAGACGTTTGCGCGCATAATACGTACACACACACACAGGTAATCACAAGCGACGTCGACTCGGACGACCACCGACTGGCTTTCTTCGGAGCTGCGGCGGTCGAGTGTGTAAGAGCGCGAACGGAGTTGCAGTGGTAGTCGCGATCAAACCGCCAGTCCATGCAGGACGATCGCCAACGCAATATGTAGAGAGAGAAAGAGACAGTGTGTGTCCGTGTGTCTGTTTTGCTGCACTCCGTTTTTATACTTCGTCCGTTCTGTTTATTCTGTGCCAGAGCGTACACACACGTACACAAAGGTGTGCGCGCAGCTTGTTCCGTTGTAATACTTTCGATCCCTCGCATACTCGATTTTCTTTTCTCTCGCTTTGCTCAAAAATCGATAATAACAACATCTCGCTCCGTCATTATTATCATCAATTTTTTCTCGCGATCAGTGATTGCACTCGAGCGACGAACGACATTCTCTGCTGCTGCTACTGCTGCTGCTGCTGACTGCATTTTTTGCAGTGCAGGAAGCGGCCCCTGCGAGTGTCTGTATGCAACGAGAGTGCCATAGTGCAGCAGCAGTATAATATAGTGCAGCGTTATAAGCGCGTCTTGCGTGCCTCTGCGTATATATAAGTTCGTGTGTGCGTGTAAAAGTGTGTGCGCGTGTGAGTCCGTGCGATCGCGTGTACAGCGTACCTGTCTGCGTGCCTTGCGTATACACACGTATACATAATAGATATACACACGCCGCCGTGTATTGCACGAGCACTGCACTGCACTGCGCGTATATTTTCACTTGTATACGCATCAAAGACATACACGCGTCAGGCAGAAGCTGACAGAAGGCCGGAGATGTAAGTATTATAATCGCTTGGGGAAAAAAATGAAAAAAAAAAGGAGAAAATAACACATATCAGCAGGCAGCGATCGCGAGTTCGCGCGCGCGCGCCTAGCTAGTCGCAACACATTCTTGTCTCTCTCGCTTCAACTCCTATAGATGTATACGACATATACATAAAACGTCGCGATTATAATGCGCGAAGAGATCGCGCAAGGTGTATCGTAGCACGCGCGAACGACCAGACTACACGAGTAGCCAGCTTATGCGATATTTCGACATTTTTGTATATTTATTTATGTAATTATAGATACGGAGCCGGGGGCTATTTCGTCTTCGTCGTCTCTTTTTTTTGTGCAAATATTCAAGTATTCTTGTTCGCGCGAGATTTCGCTGCATCACTTTTTTTTCTCGTCGTTTTTCTCGTCGGTCATCGTGCATAGCATGCCATATCCAAGACATATAACGATTTCTCACGGGAGAACACGGGCATCGAAACGCGAGAGAACAAAGACCTGTTTTTCCTTTTACGAAAATCGTTCGCGGATTCTATCGCGGCCGGAGCTGGAACAGCAGCAGCAGCAGAAGCGGCATTGCATGTTTTCAATATTATGAGTTCAGCTCATAACGATCAAACTTTTATTGTTCTTCGCGCGGCGCCGAATGCATTTCTCGAGGCTCGAGACGTATATATCCACAGTACGTGCCAATGTTTTGATGGTCGTCGTTTGCCTGCTCCAAAAACACATACACCCGCACAATGAAGTCAATTACGACTTCGTAATTCGTCGTTCCTCAGCCGCGTCGGAGACCAAAAATAAATCTTTTTTTACGATCGGTGCGTATAGTACGTACCCCACTGCAATGTGGCCAGCGTTAATGTATCGTAACGCGCGTACACGACGGCAGGGTACCCCACGACATCCGCTCGAATTTATTTTTTATTATTAAATGCTTAAATGGCTATTCGCGGTACACATAGTGACATTCAAACGTGCCGTAAACGTTGATTCTTCGAAGATAATTTATCAGCCGTTGCATAGAAAAAAAAAGATTAAAAATTCTATCCAGAACTCTAATTCGGTTCGTGTGGGATTTTACACGTGCTGTCCGCGCGTTACGCTCGATACTATAACTGTCAACAAAGAGAGCTGGATCGATACTCGGGAATCATCTGTTCCCTACTTTTTTTGTGTGTGCGAAGGTCGCTACAACTATTCATAATAGAGAATGAGTCGGATGAAAATACCCCAACGCGTCACAAGGGATGTAAACTCCCAGGCGCGCGTCCGGAATAATATACAGTTGGAAATTGATGCAAAAAAAAACAAACAAACTATCTCATCGTCGAGCAGAAGAAAGAAAGGGGGGAAAATGATCGAGAAAAGGAAAAGAGACGTAGAGAGAGAGAGGGAAGAATGCCGAGAGAAAGAGAATGGCTCGACAGGTTCTCGATGTCGGTCATGGACCTTTTACACTCGAGCCGTGCAAAACGCGCGTGCGGTAAATCGATGAATCTTCCTTCGAGCCGCACTGCGCATATGCACTACGTATCGCACACATGCTAATTACAGTAGTTTCAATATGCATTCAGATATGTCCGTGTAGCTCTTCTATTCGGTCTTTCTCCTTATCTCGGAAAAAGTCTATAATACGTACTTTTTTTTCCTTTCGATAATTTTCGAGACGCGCACGTTTAAAATTTACTTTCGAAATGTATTAAACGAAGATATGCGACTGTTCGAGTTTTAATTGTTAGCCATGCGCACGCGCCCCGTTGGTCGTTGAGATTTATTGGAAAACGCGTTCTGTAGCTCTTGTTTATAAACAAAAAAATAAACATTATCTATAAGCTTTCTCTGAAGATGAAAATGACCGTTAACTTTTACAGATTTATTAGTCTAGCGGTGGAAAACAAAGTACATTATATGCAGAGGAGAGATATCGATGTTTTCTTTTTGGCATTGTAAAAAAGATAATCGCTTGTTCCGGCACACTGCCGCGGTGAAACTCCATTTCGCGAACGCAGTTGAATTTGCAAAATCGATGAATTTACAGCACTTTTCCAACCACACGTGACGAACGAATGAAAATACGAGTGTCAAAGAAAAGACTTTAAATGCTCGAAAACGCGTCTCGAGAGAAACTACACGATTATAATATAGTAGAGAAACAGAAATTGAGCAGTATAATATCTTCTTTTTCTCCTATCTTTCTCGCTCGCATAATATAATAAAGCCGTTAAAATTAAAATCGATAGATTAATTTTATGTCCTTTCAAAACTTTTCCATTGTCCAGCAGAGAGAGAGAGAAAAAGAGAGAGTATCGTCGTTTCACGTATTATCATCATTCATCCGGTACGAGTAAGCCGCGCGTGTAAATATCTTAATTCGTCGTAATTGATCTTTTTTAATATAATAATAATGATAATATTCTTTCTTCGTTCAATTCATCCGAGACTCAAATACTATTGTCTTTTTATCGGGAAGCTCTCTGAAGTCGAACGCGCGGCAGTCCCAGTATATATGCAAAGCATTATGATTATTCTTATAACTGTAATCGGACCGCACTGTTGGACTCGCTTTTGCTTTGCATCGCCGTGTCTCGCAGATTGCAGAACTTCTTTTTCTTCTCTTTGCTGTAATATAAATACGAAATTGTATTGTCTCGAGCTGCAGGCGTCATCCTGAGACGAAGAAATGCGCCTCTGTGGCTACGTCGCAGGAATGTAAAAGAACAAAAATTAAAACAACGCGATATGCAGCTACAAAACAGAGACCTCTCGTATGCAGGATAATTCGAGTCCGATGTTTACAATGACTCGATACTTCACGATTCGGCTTTATAATATTTATTTATCCCCGTAAATCAAGTCTCTCTACCTCTCTTTCTCTTATTTTCATCTACTAAAATTCTTACGGCGAGCCATAGGACTTACTTTTATTTGTATGCACCACTGGCATGGTTTAGTTTTTGTGTGCACTCGGGCGCGCGCGCCTATTTTGCTTTTATATCATGTGCCAGCCATGGCTCGCGCTCTCGAGCTGCCGAGTCACGAATCTACATTACACACTAACACACACGAGGAATTGGTACTCGAGCTGCAGCTACGCGTTCCACAATGTACCTGCATAATTATCAAAACGCTCCGAGTGTAATCGTAGCGTGTTGTGCGCTCGGCGGCGGAAGTGATTCATCTTAGGCTTCTTTCATGCTTTATCCGATGCATTTTGTTGGTTTTTTTTCCTACTCCGTACTCTTGCAAGCGATTTTTCATATTCTCGTGTAAGTACATGTATAAAGTTGATAATAGAGCAGTAAAGTTCAAGTTTATGGGATTTATCGTGTGTGGAAAAAGACCGAACCTGACTCTCATAGTCAGTACATGCAGAGGTGTGCGTGCCGGTAATTATTATCGAGACGAACTCCGGCCAGGCTTTGGTGGTTTTGGGTAGAATTATGATCATTATATTTTTTTTGTTAATTCACACAAAAGCTGCTAGTGTAGGACGTTCCTCTGTGCTTCCAGGTTCTCACAAACCAGTATTATTTCAGAAAAAAGGGCCTTTTACATGGAGTGCATAATGCAATGCATACAATACCCGCGCAATGAGGAATTTGAACATTTTGGCGCAACATAAACATTTTTAGCTTAAAATTTCTAGTCTGTTTTTTGCTTCAAAAATAATGTATATGATTTCATTTCCTTGAACTAACTTGTGCAGTAAAAAAATAAATTAGTATTGATTCATACATTTTCAACGCGCGTTGTCCTACAGGTGAAACTACACGCATGGAAAAAAATTATCCTGCAAGAAGTATACAGTTTTAAGAAAATTCGCCTGATTGCGACAAATCTCGCATTTCGTCTTGAGCCCGATTCGTAAATTACAACAATAGTAAAAACCTCGGGCAGGTTTATTTAATTATTTTGATAACAATTTCAATTATATTGTCGTAGACCAGTACTACATTTTTTTATGATACATTGCATCACTCGCATTTTAGATTAGCGAGCTGCAGGTTGTATAGAAACCAATAAAATAAAATAATTTTGATCATTAATGCGATTGCAAATACACGTTTCGAAGCCTCGAAATAAATTTCGTCTTATGCTGAATTTTCTTCGTCCTGCGATCTGAATTTTCGAAAGAACACACGATGATAATGATAAGGTTTATTTTTAACGTACGAAATGCAGGACGCTCTTATTACTTTGACGTTTCTTCACTCACAGCGCAGTAATGCTGATTGTGCTCGTTGACAAAATTATGATAAATTTATTTGTTCCACTGTCGTCATCATTGGTCACCACCTAATTTCATAAATAATCAGAGTTTTGAATTTTTCGAATCTCAATCTAGTCCGTGTTATTTTCTACGCGCATACAAGTATGTTGCAATGTATACACTCGAGATGTAGATAGCTAAAACGGAGGATCTGTGCTTTGCGTATCTGTTTCCGCTCGTGATAAATATTTTCTTTCCACCGCTGTTGCTGCCGCTGCTGCTGCTGCATGGCGCGCATAATATGCAAACGCTCGTCGCAACGTAATCACTGCCGCCGCTGTTGCTGCTGCCGGCTCGAAAAATAGATATCGCGATCCGTTGCTTATGTGCCAGTGATGATGCATATGGTAATGCGACGACAACGGCGGCGAGCGGAAAAATTAATACGCATGAATTTTAGCTATTCCCATTTGATGCTTGACTTGGAATAGAGCTACGAACGAGAATCGATGCAATGAATATGAATTCGAGAAAAAAAACGAAAACAAAACCGGGGCCAATATATAACACATATGACCAATGCATGTACGATAATTATAAATCTCATGTTAGAAATTTAAGTTATTGCAAGTACACGTACATCGAAGTTGAACCTTCACTTTCATAACCTAAGTCCAACCCAAAACTACGAAAACGAAAACATTATGAACTAACGCGGAGAAAAAAGTTAATACACAGTAGAGTTGTTCCTTTTATAATTTCTGAACTTTTTACCTTATATATAGGCATTCGCTCTAAAAGCTCTAAGAAAAATTTAAACGTGCTTTTTAATAAATTCAAGTTGATAATCGAGTTAAAAATTGTCAAATTTACTATACAACTTTCAGGTATAGGCCGCTGTGTGTATTGATCATATATGTATTATGTATTGGCAGTTGTTTTTTCTCTCTTTCTTTTTCGAAACGAATTTATAATCATCGCATTGATTCTTGTTCGCAGCTCCATTCCAAATCAAGAATCGAATAAGTAGTTCATAGCTAAAATTCATGCGTATTAATTGAGGAAGGAAAAAATTACCACGAAAATGTGAGCAACGCTGTGTATAGATGCACCGCTCGTATCCCTCTTATCATTACGTATCGTGGACAAGACTTTCTATGCGAGTTCATCGACGCTACCTACATTTCGATATCTTATGTCATCCTCGATACTTATGCAATTTTCCAGCGTAAATTATCGAACCTAACGCACCGTCGGTACGTTTCTTCTATTGCCAATATAATACTCGTTATACATTGCACGCACGAATTCGACTATAGCAATGGATTCTCGAGTATCAGCCCCGACGTATGATGCAACTAAAAATCAGTTCCTACGAATACGCATACCGCTTAATTTCAGTCGTAATCTGTGGGTGAATTCATTCTTTTTTTCTCGATTTCGCAAAAAAAATCCTTACTCACCGAGCGGAGTTTTGATGAAACAACGTCAAGAAACGCTCGATCAGCGAGCGAGCGAGATAGATAAACTCGTTTGCGAACCGATTAATTAATCATTAATTTTTTTTCGCAACAAAGAAAAGGCTGAGTATCCGATGATTCACTTCGACCTTCGTTATCTTTCCCTCGCGCTGTGAGTACGCTTTCGGGCTGCTACTCGGCTTTACAAAATTTTAACTTTTGTGTAATTCCAATTTGATATATTTACCATAGATCGAAATCGAGTACAAATTAACGATTTTCCGCCGCCGTTGAGTGGGTTTTCTTTTTTTTTGTTTTTGACGAGGAAATGAACAATCGTGTAAGTAGCTTGTAATTTGAGCGTAATATATAATTGCTCGAGTGACGCGCGCGAATCGAGAGGTGGTACAAAATATCGGCCGCGTCTGTCCGGGCTGCTGTACAGGTGTTCGCGCTCGCTTCTATCCTTATCATCGTGTACGCACGTCGATCAATATTATCAACTGTTCGGCTATATATAGAAACAAAACGTGCATCATTGCACGTATGGAACAATGCGAATCTGATTTTTCGATTTTAAATTTGTATAGATTACAAAAAACATCCGATGTTTAAAATTAAACTAGACTATTTATTGAGAGAAAAAAAACTATACAAATGCAAGTAGCTCCGGAACGTCAGTAAGCTATCAACGTCCGACTAAATCAGTCTAGCGCGTAATCCGAAGACGGAAGATGGCCATATATACACCAACACACGACCAGCGAGCAAAACAATTTCGCTCTCGAGTATGCGCGCGAGTGTAACGATAAAATAAATACACGATAAAAATACATGTGTGTGTGTGTGTTTGCGTGTGTCTGTGTTTGCAGTGCACAGTCGGGAACCCCAAGCTCGAAGTCACTCTCTCATGCTATGCGCACGATGATGGCGTTGAAACCAAGAGTAAATAAGTTTTTGCGCCCGCTCACAGTACAAGTGTCGAATATGCACGAGAGCGATAACGATCAACGCCCGCATATATGATATATTATATTATGTGCGTATGTATGTCGCGGTCATTCCCTTTTATGCGTCCGAGTGCGTATTATGTGCTGCGAGCAAACAGACGTTGCATGTTTTTAGTACATAATAACGATATTTCAATTACCGAAGCCGGGCGATAAGGGCATTTAAGCGCGTTTTACACACTCTAACCCGACTGATCGATGTAGAAAATTTTGTCGTATCGGAAGTCTTTCGACGTCGTCTGCGCGAGTCCGCGTACAAACTATTGTATGCTTTTTTATTTAAAAAATTGATGAGCTAAATAGCGACAATAGTTTGGAAGTAATTTAGTTCAAATCTACATGAGTAAATTGCAAGACAAATATTGTAAAAGTGACTTGCATTATAAAATTGATATCATTTTCATGCAAAAATTTATTGATTTTTTTTAAACTTGAACGTGTTTTTCGCACAATGAAATTCGAAGAACTTGTGATATTATAAATTAAAACTTTTATATTATAATCTTACGAAGTTTTATAATAGTGGCAACGTATGTTGAAAAAGTGACACCAAAGTCAAGATAAAAACGACAATTTTTAATCAGTGGATTTAGATGATTTTTCATTGAATAAATGTTTTTAAAAAATTATGTGAATGTCTTCATTTATGTTCTCGTGACATACAAGCGATGATTTTACGCACCACATCTATGTAGCCTTTGTGGTAGCCCTTATTTTTGAATTTTTTTCGCATATATCTCATGCATGTGTTATGCCATTATGAATCGCATCAATTTGCATTTTGAGATAACCCTTTCTTGTGAATGTCTTTCCACAAACATCGCATTCATGAGTGAGGCTATTATACTTTGCATTCATGTGGATTTTGAGATTACACTTGCTTGAGAGTTTCTTTCCAGAAATATCACATTTACGGGTGACACCATTATGCTTTAAATTGATGTGAGTTTTGAGATAACCCTTAGTTGAGAATTTATTTCCGCAAATATCACATAAATGTGTGATACCATTATGAATCGCATCAATGTGGATTTTGAGATAACCCTTTCGCGTGAATGTATTTTCACAAATATCACATGCATGTTTGGCACCATTGTGCACCGTATCAATGTGAGTTTTGAGATTATCCTTCGCAGTAAATTTCTTTCCGCAACTATCACATGCATATTTCACACCATTATGCACTGCATCGATATGGATTTGAAGATGACTTCTATATTTGAATAGCTTTCCACATGTATCACATTTATGGGTGACCCCACTGTGTACTGAATCGATGTGAGTTTTGAGATGACCCTTAGTTGAGAATTTATTTCCGCAAATATCACATGCATATTTGATATCATTATGTACCGAATCGATGTGGACTTGGAGATCCCTGTTCCATTTAAATGTCTTTCCACGTGTATCACATGCATGAGTGATACCATTGTGCATAGCATCAATGTGAATCCTAAGACTATTATTATGTTTGAATGTCTTACCGCATTTATCACATGTATTTCTAATACCATTATGCGCCGAGTCGATGTGGACTTGGAGATCCCTGTTCCATTTAAATGTCTTTCCACATGTATCACATGCAAGTGTGATACCATTGTGCACCGAATCGATGTGGACTTGGAGATTATTCTTGGTTGAGAATTAATTTCCGCAAATATCACATGAATGAGTAAGACAACGATGTAATGATTTGACATGTCTATTTAGCCTACTTTTAGTTGAGAAATTTTTACTGCTTATTTTACATGCTTGAGTTGTATCATTATCTAAAATACCGCGGTGTTTTTTGAAATTATGTTTTTTATTTGGCTTGCCAAGTTCCCAGTTAGAATTCAAATTCGATTCTTCATCAATAGCACCAACAAATTCCTGTTTTACTTTCCCCATGGGTTCTAGTTTTATTATATTTTGAGGTTTGTTATTATTACCATTATCTTTTAAATTCCGCAAGTGATTTGGTGAATCACCGTCAATTTTCTTGACTTTTAATAATTCAATGTTGGGCTTGACGTCTTCGCGTTCAACAACTATTTCTACTTTGTCCTGAAGTTCACTTTCATGATTTTCTTTACACTTCCGAAAGGTATTCATCTGTTGAAAAATCAAAGTTGTGTTTCATAAGTAAACAACAAAAATACGAATTACAGATAAGAATCGACACTTACTGAATTTTCTTGCGGAAATGTTAAAAGTTGGATGCTTTTCAGATCAGGTTTTTCGTCAGTCATTTTACAATTATTTTTGATAAGTGAAGCATCAGTAGGCTCCTTTTTCACTCTGAAATTGACCCAGTAAGATATTTTGTCATAAAAATTTTACATCAATCACAAAATATGAAAATTACCTAAAAACACAATTAAAACTACTGGATTCCATCCTTCTCACTTGAAATACTAGCAACTAACCTCTTTGCGAAGACCAAGCTAATTACACAGTAAAACTGGCAAAGAGCACTGAGCTGTGCGCGTTCTGTTATTTACAGTGTGCATCGCCTGCACGACCTCTCAGTGTATTTATTGCCAACGTAAGTACCATGCATACACGAAGATCTATGCGCGAAAATGATCGCTCATAACCTAGCTCTATTTGCATAGGCGCAAATTTTAAAAATACATTGAGCATAGTATAATATTTTTTGACTATCTTTCCCTTATACCTTGAATCGTATTCAATAAGCCACATCAAAATTCATTTAATCTACGTAAATTCACAACAATTTTACTTGTGATGGATTTAGTATACATTGTGTTAAATTAATTAATATGTGATATTTAACAAAAAATATTTTCATAAACATGATTTTTTTCCTTCATAACTTTTTATATTGATTTATCGTGGTAATAAATTTCAACTCGGAGTCCTGCATGGAATTACGCTTATTATCAATCATCAAAACATTTTTAATTCTTACCAAAATATACTTATTGTATATTGATATAATTCAAAAAGTAATCGTTTGTATAATTATCCAAAAATCTATTATTTAGTAGCAATTTTGAAAAGCATATATAAAATAATCAATTTAAAAATTTTCCGCTTATTTCACAACTAACTTCACATCTCCCTCTAATTTCCAATCAAATATTTCAAATGGAGTCCGTGCAAAACTCAGTCATAATACTTATATTAATGAAGAATCAACATACGCATCTTATGTCTATTAAATAGTAAACATTTTTTCATTGACAATATATTATTAAAATGATGACTCTATGGTGCGAGAGAGATCTAATACCATATGATAATTATTATCATCATCGATGATGATGATGCTGCTGGTGGTACTCCATGTTATTGCCCAATCAGTTGTTTGTCCAAAAAATAAAATTTGTCATATACGCCTGTGCGCAGCGTCTTTATCTTATCTTGGCGTATAAGCGATTATATAGGTACACCGTCCGCGCGTGAACTTCGAGCACTCCGCATATGAGTCGTCGCTATAATCGCGCCTGTATATAGCGGCTCGAGATTCAAAGATCGCGTCGTGTCGAGGCTCCGCGAACCTTCGTGTGTGTGTATATGCGCCGACGCCGTCGTCTTCGTCGCCGCTCTATGCGCTTGCGAAGTCGCGATAAACGATATAATATAACACTCGTTGACTCGAGTTTATCGAGGCATTGATTTCAGCAGTCGCGCGAGCCACACACAAATGTCTATATTTATCCGATTGCCTCATTGAACGCTGCATTACTTGTGATCTCTGTAATATATTTTTCGCCCGACTCCAAAGAGCTAGGTTAATTTTTCTTATGCACACTCATACAATTAGGTCGATATGTGCGCGGTGTTCAATGGTAAGCGTATCGCATTCTGTCAACTCCGAATGCCTCAAATATGACTGTAACTTAATTCCCAAAACAAACTTGCAAAGATATCTCGCACAATACGCGCGTGGACACTTGGTCAGCTCGAGCGAGAGAGCCTTGACGAGAATTGCGTGCTCGTGTGTGTTTTAGCCGGAACAAAGAGCAAGGAGTCAAATATGATATAAAGTAGGGGTCTTTTTTTCTCCTTTTTTTTCTAGATAATTCGCGCTTCGCCTTACGTGCTATAGCGGTGGTGGCGCGCACTATTCGCAAAGATAAAAAGCCGAGAGCTCGCGCGCGCACGCGGACACGCGATACTCGAGCAGCTGTCTCGAATGTAAAGTGTCAATGTGCAGCGCTGACGCTATAATATACGCGATGCAGCAAGGCTAAAGTTGAAAACGCACGGGAGTTAGTCGCGACTCGTGCCAAAAGAAAGCGAGAGAAAATTTGACCAAAATGACAATTGCACTTTAATAACGGGACAAACTATTATACGAGTCGTTGCGCCACCCGCAAAGCGACTCGTAATTCGACCAATTATATGAATTTATGCGGCGGCGGTGGATGGCCGAGTTTTTTTCGAGAATTTTTCATAACCGCTATATACACGTACGTGTGTACACACAATGCACCGCTATGCACATACACTCGCCGAGCCGAGTGACAATATGTAGATCGTCCGAGCTGCAACGATGAGGCTGCTCTGTTGCAGCTGACTCGTTCGCGCTTCTGCACATTACCATAATATGCTCGAGACAATTCGTTTTTCCTCAGCCGTTTTCCAAGGTCTCTTGGCAAACAACGAAGAGCACAGTGTAATTGAAATACACACGTTTATGCCCGACATTAAAAAAAAAAGTATATTTCATTCATTTTATGCCGATTATATTGCCGGGTCTTGACGTCTCCGGTTGAGAGTTTGAAGAAAAATTCACACACGATATCGCGAAGCTGCCCCCGAAGTCGATTTTTAGCTTCCGATTGATAATAATAAAATCGTACGCCGCATATAGTTGAATGACTCGCGCAGAACTGCACACACAGACACTCCGGTGCGTTATAAATGCACGACGATTCGCGGAAGTACGTATTACCGAGCGCGCGTGACATTTTGAGTCACACATACACATATACTGGAAGAATAAAGTTTTCCCCACTTTTTCATGCGTTCTCGTGGCGCGAGAACAGCGTGTGCTACTATACTATATAAACTACTGTACTGGCGCGTCATAGTCCAGGCATTATTACATAGAGGAACGATAATCATAAACCCGTTCCTAGGATATGATTATAAATCGATTACTGCCTCTGAATAATTCCGTATGAATGATGAAAAAAAAAATCATTATTGATGTTGCGGCTTTGACGATCTCGAGCTTCCCCATTTGTTTTGTCTATACCCGCGCCGTAATTTCATACGAATAATTGTTATGTATACAATTTAAGATCAGTTATAACATCTCTAATAACGTACAATTTGATAAAAACGGTATATTTGATTGAAATTGTTTTTTGTTTAGGATAATCAAGAATCAAGGACTCGCGGAACGACTCAAATGATAAACTAGACATGATACTTTAGCACAAAGTGTCACGGAAAAAATGATGATCAAAACGTTCAAAATGCAATCGACATTCGCTGCATCGAGCGCTTTGTCGCTGTTGCTCCTACTTTTGGTAGGCTGCACGCAAGCACTCGAGGGGCCCAACATTTGCACGAGACAAGAACCGTAAGTTTTATTAGTGCAGTTCACATTTCGTGTGGTTAAATTGTACAAAATTGCAACGAATTTGCTGACGTTTAATCGCTACCCGCAGGTACACGGTAACGGTGACGGTGTCCGAGCAGAAGCCATACACCGAGAGGACCAAGAGCTTTTGCTGGAGCTTTCCGCCGACTTGCTCCAAGTACAAGATAGTTTTTAAAACGGTGTACAAAACTGAGGTAAGAGTTGGTCAATATGTAAAAATAATGGAATGAAAAGAGAGTGAATTAGATTCAGTACTAGAACGAACGCGTTACATAATTTACAGACCATAACGAAGCAGAGGCCGGTCGAGGAGTGCTGCAAGGGCTACACGAAGACGAACGTCGGCGACAGATGCGTGGCCGTATGCTCGGAGCCCTGCGTCCACGGCACTTGCGCCGCTCCGGACGTCTGCAAGTGCGAGGCTGGCTACGGCGGTCCCACCTGTGACATCAGTAAGTACAGGCTCAATTATATACGATCCATGTCATATCCGCAAAAAAAACAAAAAAATTTATACCTCGCTAATCTTCGTCGCGCAGAGTGCCCAATCGGCAAGTGGGGCGAGAAGTGCCAGGAGGACTGCCGCTGCGCCAACGGGGCCGGCTGCGATCCCTTCGACGGCCGCTGCTCGTGCACGCGCGGCTGGACCGGCGAGTTCTGCGAGGACGCCTGCCCGTCCAACAGCTACGGCCTGGACTGCGCCGAGGAGTGTCGCTGCCTCAACGGCGGCAGCTGCCATCACATAAGCGGCGAGTGCCACTGCGCGCCCGGCTACACTGGACCGCTGTAAGTCCGATCCCTATTTTGGATTATAATTTTACATGTTTTAGAATTAGAAGTTTCGTGCCGGTGATTGCACATAGAGAGCTCAATTATCGCATATTTCGCGAATTTTCATCTGCGTAAGCACGTCGATTCGACGACTATGCTGCGTCGCGAAACACGACATTATTATTGTTCGATTGTGATTTTTGCTGGGAAACAGCTTAGTCGTGCGAATCCGAGACGTTACGGAACTCGCTCGATCGTCGCCGAGTGTCCATGGACGCGTTCGAGTACACTATCGTAAGTCGACGCATAATTATCGCTCGCTTACAGAAATGCTACGCGCGCGCACACACCTTGCTCAGCTCGCTAATTCACCTTGTCTATGTAATGGCGAGCGACGTCGAACAAATCTGAAATGTGCAATACATATTACGCACGTGATATTTTAGCGCGTAGTCGTGTGTCGAGTTCGACGCACAGCAGCAGCACAAGACTACATTATACAAATAATAAAATCGCTCGCGTCGGGAGCTTTATTCCTTCGAGCGTGCGCGCGGTGACTTATCCGCTCGCATATATTGCCTTTTATTATATTGCCTGTTTGCTCTTACTCACGCTGCCCCGACTAACTATAATGGGCCATACAACATTTAACGAGAGATTCTTTTGTTCTCGATATTCGACAAGTAATATGCTCGAGGCTTGATTGTGTGCACCTTGTACAATCTTACGAGTTTAGTGCGTGTGTATGATTTTCAGTCGATGAAAGAAAAAACCGGCAAATTAATAATAGAATTCATATTTTTAAGATCTTCTCTCTTATTAATATGCCTCGAGCTCGACTTTTTTTACCGCGCTTGCGACGGACCGAGACGATGCCATCTAGCGGCGACTAGTTCAAACAATAAAAATGAAATAAATTCAAGTTATTCGGATTGAAGATTTAAAAAGCTCATAAAAAATTTTTTTTAATTTTATTTCTTTTCTATTTAAAAAAATACACACATGTGATAAGATTAGCCATCAATAATGAAAATACACTCGGCAACAAAATTATCGCAACAAAAAAATTCATCGAAATTTTGTCGATTTTCAAATGCTTCTATCTTGGGCTAGATTTATCGTATCGACACGCTTTTTTTTTAATTTCTTGGAAATTTTGTCCTCTTTAAATCCATATAAATTAAGATAAGATTTGAGTTAATGTTGAGTTACCAGTAGTATTTGAGCGTGACCCTAAAAATTACTGAAAAAAAATGACTGTTTGAACGTGTACCAGTACCACAGTGATTTTTTTATCGAAATCTAACATACACCATCGCAAAGTGCTCTTTT